CCATTTTTCCTGCTTCCAACACATCAACTTTGAGGACTGAATGTTCACTTGCTACCTAATATACCCCACACACTGACAGGTGCTACTGTAACAGATAGTCAGTGTTATTCACTTCACCTGCCAGTGGTCATAATGTTATGGCTGATCAGTCTATACTGTATTTGTAACACCTCTTGAAAGAAAGAACCTCCTTCTTGATTGAAGCAAATTAAGCTCCCTACTGTATGTAAGGGATGCTGGGTATCTGATAAGATGGTCTGTGCCTTCTGTGGAATTGATACAGGTGGCACAGAACTTTGGTATTTATAGCAGTGATCTTCTGGCTCACACTCACAGTCCTTTTGTTCTTTATACTTAGATCAAACCAACAGGTCTGTCTAAATGCCTTTGCATATCAGCATATTACTATTAATGTAAATCTGTGTGAATGTATTGTGCACATTCACACAGGCCCAAACACCAGCAGCCATGTTTGACTGCTGATAAATGTACAAACACCCCAGTCTGTGCGGTATTTGTTTTGGACAGTAATACTTTTGGCCTTGTGGCGTCTTAAACAGAGAAATCATGAATTTAACAGCAGAGCTGTGATGACGTGTGAAATGTTTATCATGTTCAGAGTAGTGGCCATGTCTTGTTGTCTTCCCATGGCCTCAGCTCCAGCACAGACCCCAGGGAGCAGACCTTCTAACCAATACAGCAGATTTAATCAGTCTGGTTCCATTTCATCTTTCTTGTGTCTTACATTAGTGTAGTCATATGCAGTCTGTTATCAGATGAGCATAGGCTCATGGAGGTAGAAGAACAGTCTAAAAAAGATAGAGCTGAATATAGTTGGCTTCATTCCAGAGTAATCTTCAGCTAAAAGTATAATGAACTGCAAAGAAGCTTCAGGCTTGTTGTGATACTAACAGTTCAGATTCCCCCAGGGGAAGAAAATCCCTGATTTCCTAGAGTTGCTTTTCAAAGAGTGAGCATTTGGAAATTAGATGAGCTTTGTAAGAAAGTAAAGGATAATCATTTAATTCTTTAACACTAGAATGTAATTTCTCCCTCATGGTACCTGCTCAGTGGCCACCTATACAGTATTATCCTGGTGATATTATGCCTCTCTACTGTACCTACAGTATAAAATTTGTAGCTGTAGTGTTAACATTGATGTTACATATTTGTTTTTTGAAGATGAGAATAATTTTGCTGTGACCTTGTGCAAAAATATTTGACCATCATTTAATTTAAATAATGGTCTCATTATCATAATTTGTTCATAGTCTAATTATATTCATGTTGCAGCTGTTTTCCCACTAGGGTGGGCTGAATATCCTTTTTAACCATTCTGATCTAAAAATCTATAGTTACAAAATAGGAAGGAGTAAGAAATGTTGGTTCATGATGCACCCCTATGAGAAGCTGGTAAAGAATCATGTGTTACATCAGTGTATGAACCCCCCCCCTCCCTGTAATTGTGGTTCATGTTTCCCTGGTGACAGCGTGGAAAGAAAGGACCCCTTGGCTGCACTGGCGCAGGAGTATGGAGGATCTAAGAGAAACGCTTTACTGAAGTGGTGCCAGAAGAAAACACAAGGCTATCCGGTAGGGATCACAGGCCAGAGTTCTTGCTTAAGTACAGGGCGGACTCCGTGCAATTTCACACCTTCTTTTATTTTAGTCTCACACTATTCAGATCCTCATTTAATAGTGAGATGACAGCTCCCTACCACCCCACCACCACCCCCTTATTTTATTGCATGGAAGCAGTATTGGTCTGTCTGTACCCTCAGGTTTGGTAGTTATTTCTTTTTTTTCAGCCATCACTGAGGTGTTAGAATGTAGTGGCACATTACTGTGTTTGCAGACACACCAATCACCCACCTGTCATCTCAGTGTAATGGAAACAATGAAGGAAAGCGCTCAGTGTTACAGACACACTGAATTTATACATGTGTGTATTTATATAGCGCTCCTTGTTTTTCTGCATGTTGATTTGTTTATACACTGTTGTGTGCTGTGTTCCCATTTGTGTTCCGTGTGTCCATGGCACTGAAAATCACCTGGCTTATCTGCTCCCCTAATACCCAGTTTAAGGAGCCCATTAAGGCCAGTGGGATTTGAGATTTACCTACGCAATCATCATGTTTGTGTGCCAGCATACTAGCTAGCAAATGCTAAAACTGTTATGTGGCAGCATTCTGATACATAAACACAAACTGACTCTATTTCTGTCCTGTTTAGGTTTAGGGTCGATAATGACTCATAGCTGTAGCTTGACCGAGTATAAAAGGTATACATGATGAAAAGTGCTACAAACAGACCTGTCTTTCCCAGTGATAACTGGCCTGAATAACTGGATAAGTTGTAAGATCACTTGTTTACATTTCTCAGGTGCCGTGCCGCTCAGCAAACTTTGAGTCACCCTCCCTTCATCTGAGGGTGCTTGTTTGATAGCCATATGGTGCATGTGTTGATAACACACACAGCAAGTCCTCTGTGGTAGAAGCATCTGATCAGATTAGATAAAATTACTGCTCACCAACAGACATTCTGATGATATATTGAACCTGTACACAGACTGCCGTGGCTCAAAGCCGCACAGATCTTTGGGCAGCAGGAGTGTATTTAAAGACAATGGAAAGTCATTAATATACACATACAAACATTTCTGGGGCCACGCATAATTATGGGGGGATGTTCATCACAATTTCCCAGATCTGAGGTGATATCTTCATATTATTTGTTTTATCTGACCTTAAAGATATGTAGTTTGCTACAATAAAAAAACTGAGAAAAGGAAGAAATTCTCACTTCAGAAGTTGGAACCAGAAAAGGCAGTTTTGCTAAAGGGCTTGCATCACTAAAGTAGTTAACATGTAATTTTCTCTTCATTAATTAATCATTAGTATTATTGATACTTTAATGTCTAATCAGCATTTTAATATTCCAGTTGGCCAATGTGGAAAAATGTTTTTTACCACAAACATGTATCATACTGTATTTGTTCACCATATGGTTTGCATACTTACATACATAAGTACTCTGCAAAGTACCAGGTAACTACAGCTGTGTCAAATGTTACTGAGTAGATATTATGATGTTGCCCTCTAATATGTAATGAAGTAGAACTATAAAGTTACATGAAATGAAACTACTTAAAAACACTTAACTAGCTCAAAACTGTACCTAAGTACAGTATTTAAGTAAATGTACGTAGTCACTTTCTACCACTGCCTAAATGTTTGAATTGACTTTTGTCAAATGGTAACTATGCAAATAGATTTGTGAATCTCAGGACAGTGGGGTCCACCAACATGGGACCCTTAATGGAACCATTTGGTCTGGATTTGAATATGCAACCTATGCTCCCCTCTAACAAAGGGACTAACAGCACAATGTGATTATTTGGAAATATCGGGAATGTAGTAAGAAAATTTGGCTACTAGGAGTGTTTCAGTCTGTGGCATAATCATTCCCTCCCTGGAGTAACTATTCTTGAGTCGAGCTATGACCCTTCATGTTTGTGCATTTTCTCCATGTGCGCATGTACCTGACCTGCCATTGGATTCATTCACAGACTGTTAGGCAGTTGAACTTATAAACATCTGTCATCAGAAGTGTGACTGCCCTGTGCTGTGTGGCCTTAAGGGTATTTGGTCATGAAGCATTAATTTGGTGTATCTGGTTTCCAGCAACCTGGCAGGTTTTCACAAACCTGTTCTGACTGGAATGAAGACAAACATGTTTTTATAACTGACTCTCAGACCAAGTTGCCAAGGAACATCTTAACATTGTATAACTCACTAAATATACTGTACAAAATGTGAGCTACACTATACTGTACATCTACACAGAAGAGACATAGATGGTTTGACAATAAACTATGAGACATCTGAGTGGTAGTTTGAGCAAAGGTTCATGTAAGTTAGATTCAGAAAAATGTACCAAATATTTAGTGGTTAGTGTTTAACCTGGGTTTCTCAGCACAGATTCTAAGAATGGCTATTATTTGCCTCTTGAGTGTTTTCCTACTTCTGCAGAATTCCACAACCACCCATGGGGATTTCTCTTTCTGAGGTTGCATGTACATGTACTGTATGTGACATATACTGCAGTGCGAATGCATTAGTTACAGTAGGTTGAGTTCATCTACACGAGGAAATGTGTCCACAGGGCCCTGTAGTCTCATGACAAGCTAAAGGAAAAAGCTAGAGGACACTCCATGTGTCTGGTGAAAGGTCAGATTGTTAAATTGTTAGGCATCCTCAGCCCACCATGAAGCCACTAATTATAGGCCTAACACCCAGAGAAAGGGGCTGATGTGTTACACAGTTTGCAGCTCCAGAACAGCAAGACACAAGGACTATCACAACTGCCCAAAATACAACCACATCCAGTCTGCTCACTTGTGCTTCCTTCCCTCTGTCATGCTCGTGTTCTGCTCTGATAAAGGTTAGTGAGGTTATGTTTGACCAATACATCCACAAACACTTTGCGGTCCCTCTCTTCTCTGCTGTGGACTAAGGTCAGGGAACTCATAACTCAACACTAATTGGCTCTTTAGTGTGGTGTCACCCAGTTGCAATTTATGCTTGGCCTCTTTTATCTACATAATTAATGGTCAATTTCAAGAGGCAACCTTGACCGTCGCTGTTTGCTTTCCATCCTGTCTCTTGCTTCCTAACTTATTTCATGCTCATCTACCAGCGCAGAGCCAGAAAAGCTGCTGCATGAGCCGAGAACAAAGCTGATGGGAGGGTCAGCCCCGTGCCAGTTGTGATTACAGTTCTATTGTTGGCCGACCTTTTGGTCAAACAGCAACCTAATTAAAGTGAAACCATAAACGGGAGCTATTATAAGCATGCCGAGAGATTATTTGATGTTTGTATTCAAATAGCTGCTGAGGGCACAGCAAATCTGTTTGGCTGTAGCTGAAGTGACAACCTGATGTCACATCTAGTCTGATGAATAAAGAGAGAGAGATAAGTGCCAGTGATGTATGATGTATTTAAAGAATGAGTGTGAAGCTGCATCTCACCTATATATTGAATACGTCTCTGCCTTTTTAATGCATATAGGTGACAGTGAAAAGGATGATGAAAGTAGTACAAGTGTGTCTGCCTATGTATGGGTGTGTGCCTAACACAGATAGAGAGAGAAATGGGAAAACAAGGCAAAAGGCATGCATGCAAAGACACACACACAAGAGAAGGATGTGCGTGCTGTTACCATAGAGAAGAGTCCTTGAACCCCTGAGGGACAATGCAGTGTGTTTACCAACCAGCTGCCTCTATACCCCAGTAATGCACAGGCCCTTAGAACAATACCAGACCTGTGTTAAACTCTCAAACAACCAGACAGGCTCTGTTGCACCTCAAATGTCAGATTCTGGGAAGCAAAGATCAATCAGTCGAGACCTTAAGCTGGCTCTGATTTACTCTGCCCGGTGGGAGAGACTGAGGGGGCCTCTGACAGGAAATTAGTATTCACATGAGATCCTGTGCATGTCCGCACTGGACTGGACACAAAACCGCTATTATACAACTTCTGTTCACACTGGTTTTTAAAGACAGTTTGTAAGATCTGACTCTAAAGAGCACATTGCAGATTGGGCTGCGCCTGGTCTGTAACTGTGACTGTTGTGTGTTTTCGGTGTATGTATGTGTGTGTGTAATGTTTTCCTGCTCTCTATCTCAAAGTCTTTACATTGCTTGACTGGATGTTGTAGTTGGACCAGGCTACAAGGAAATGTGATCCCTAAGAAAAATGGACCAATTTCTAATGTCATTGTTCAAGTTTTTAATAGCAAAATCTCATATTTTTATGAATAATGAATCCTTCCACCTTAATTGCAAAATTGACTGTCATTATCAGAAACTAAATTTCTACTTGTGGTTTTAATTTTACAAAAATTGCCATTTTTAGCCATGTTCAGTAATCAAAGGCTTTCTTCAGTGTCTGGTCTGGCCTCCTGTTGTATATTTATCAGGCTCTTTGATGCCTTAACTTAGGACATCCCTGGACACTTTTCCAGTATTTTTTCCCCCAATTAGCCATAGAAGCCAAACAAAAATAAATATGCTGTTTGTTCAAGATGGGAACAATGAGCAAAGACTCTGAACATTAGGCTCAGCTGGGCTTGACAGAGCACAACTCATCCGGCCCTGTCTGGGAAACTCTCACACACACACACACACACAAACGTACACACAAAAGCATTGAAGAGACAGGAATGGACCCCTAGGTGAGCATGGAATGGAGGTCAGACATCGAGGAGGGGAGCAGGGTAGGAGCTCAAAGCATAGCCATTACTGTAAGTTCTAATAATGAAGTATTAACAGGAATAGTGAGTGAGATCATCAGTGTAAAATAACAGACCATAAGTGGTGGTAATAGAGGGCTTGGTTGCGGTTTCAAATGACTGGAATATCTTAATATTTCAGATGCATTACTTTTAATTGTTCTCATCATCAAAAATTTCAATTTTTAAATGTCTATCATAATATACATGTCAAACCGGGTAGAAACAAGATTTAAAAAAAGCTTCAGGCTGCCTGGGCTTTTCTGCAAAAGAAACAATCCTTAACCAGTAGGTGGCTGTG